CTCAGGGACAGACACAGAATTGTTACTCAGGGACAGACACAGAATTGTTACTGAGGGACAGGGACACAGAATTGTTACTGAGGGACACAGAATTGTTACTGAGGGACACAGAATTGTTACTGAGGGACACAGAATTGTTACTCAGGGACACAGAATTGTTACTCAGGGACAGACACAGAATTGTTACTCAGGGACACAGAATTGTTACTCAGGGACACAGAATCGTTGAATTAAAGAGTATGTCAGACAACACATGCAGAGGAGTGGCAGAGGAGGCAATGTTTTAGGAGCGAGCAGACGTGGCAGCAGAGGAAGGGGTCGAGGCAGCACTAGTCGCAGCCAGAGGCCAGTGCTCCCGGTGTCATCCAGCGGTCGTGTCTCCACCGACAACCCTGCCGTCATCGATTGGTTGGCTCGGTCGTCTTCCTCTTCCCAGGTCACCTCTGACACCTACAGCCAACGGTCGGTGGGTACGTCAGACACAACCGTTAGTTGGCATGGCCCGGGAGCAAGCCCACTGAAATCACGTGTCCTCTACCTGCCCCTGTCCTTTGGTGTTCCCTCACCAAGCGAAGTATCGCATGCTGTGGGCTCAGCCCCACTGTACAGTGAGGAAGAGCTAACAGAGGGCGGTCAGGAACGGGGGGGAGACATCCGCCTCTTCAGCAGCCAGGCGAAGAAGTACTGGCGAGGAGAGTGGCTCGGTAGCCGGTCTAGAGACAGGTCTGTCTCCTGACCCACACGCAGCCGAGGGGGCTAGTAGTGAGGCGGAGACCCTAATTGATGATGATGAGGCTGATCGCACTTGGCAGCCTCGTCGTCATCAGGCTATTGCTTCCGCATCATCAGGAGAAGAGGGTGGCAGCTTGGCAGCGAGCAAAACAGTCGGTGGGTTGCCCAGGAGGCAGCAGGGTCGCAGCAGTGTCAGTGGAGGCAAACGGCCACGGAGTAGAGCACCAGCTCCACTGCAGCCTACCACCACGGCCAGTAGTGGTGCCGGTGTGCACGGAGGAAGTAGCAGTCAGCCAGTGAGGAGTATCGGGGGCAAAGTTTCCTACTCGGCGGTGTGGCAATTTTTCGTCAAGCCGCCCGAGGAAGTAAACGTAGCCGTATGTCGACTATGTGGCCAGAAAGTCAAGCGTGGCCAGGGGGCCCATGTTGGGACTACAGCGTTGCGGCAGCATATGCAGCGTCGCCATTTGGTGGCCTGGGAAAACCGTGATAAAGATACGGCGGTTCTGCCTGCCCCAGCCCCCGCTCCATCACCCGCTCCGTTACTTGCTCCGTCACCCGAACGTCAATCGCCCTCTATCAGCCAGTCAAGGCTCCAACACCTCTGCTGAGGGGAGTTGTCGCTCGTTGGCATCTTCCGCTCGTTCAGATTGCTCCTTCTCCTGCTACTCCTCTTCACGGATTCCGTCAGCAGTCTTTCTTGGAATCCGTTTCCAAGAGACAACAGTTTGCGAGCACGCACCCGACGGTGCAAAAGCTGAACGTCCTCCTGTCCAAGTTGCTGGTGTGCTGCAGTCCCTCCCTTTCCAAGTGGTGGACTCAGCACCTTTCCGAGAAATGATGGCTTGTGCCGCGCCGCGGTGGAGAGTGCCAAGCCATCATTTCTTCGCCAAAAAGCAGTGCCAGCCCTGCATTCACATGTAGAAGAGATGGTGGGCCAGTCTTTTTGAGCATGTCGGTCTCTGCCAAAAGTGCACGGCAGCGCCGACGTGTGGAGCTGTAACTACGGTCAGGGACAGTACATGTCATTTACGGCCCCACTGGGTGAACGTGGTGCCGGCACAGCCGCACCAGCAACTTGGACAGGTCACGCCGCTTTTGCCTCCACGTTTGCACGTCCTTGGTCCACAAAAGATGTCCGCCTCTACCACCTCTTCTTCCGCCGTGTCCTCAGCCGCCACCCCCGTGCCAAGTCCCATTACCCGACCGGCATATCACATGTGCAGGGCGCAACGGTGTCACGCTGTGCTGCACCTGGTATGCCTTGGCGAACGTAGTCACACAGGGGAGGAACTTCTGAGTGTAATGAACAGAGAAATCGACAGATGGCTGTCTCCGCGCAAACTGAAAATCGGAACCATGTTGACCGACAACGGAAAGAACATGGTGTCTGCTCTGCGTCAAGGAAGGTTGTGCCATGCGCCATGCATGGCTCACGTGTTCAATCTGGTTGTCAAGGTTCCTAAAATCCACCATCCCACTGCAAGACATCCTTAAAATGTCACGTAAACTTTGCATGCATTTCAGCCATTCCTACACCGCAAAGCACACCCTCCTTGAGCTGCAGCGGCAGAACGGAATTCCACAGCATCGCCTGATCTGCGACGTTGCAACAAGGTGGAATTCAACCCTACACATGTTAGACCGCCTTTACGAACAGCGAAAGGCCATCACCGATTTCCTGATGTTACAAGCGGATAAAGGTACTCCCCTGTGTAACTTAGATGTCAGCCATTGGCAGCTCATGCGTGACACCTGCCGCTTGCTCAGGCCCTTTGAGGAGGCCACGCTATTCGTGAGTCGGCAGGACTATGGGATGAACGACGTCATTCCTCTGTTGCACGTCCTGGAACAAATGCTGTTAACAATGGCTGGTCAGGGTGCGGTAGACGTGGCGCACAGATCTCAACGCCACATGACCCCTGTGGGGGCAGGACAGGAAGAAGAGGAGGAGGTAGAGGAGGACATTGGTGCTCAGGAATTATTGAGTGAAATGGGTGGTTTTTCCACTCAGCGGACAGGAGTGGAGGAGCAGGAGCATCTGGTAGAGGAGGAGGAGGAGGAGACAGAGGACCCAGACGCACCGTGGCAGTATGCTGTGGAGATGGAGGCAGGGAGTCCCTCGCATTCCTTGGCACACAAATGGCCCATAGCATGCTCGGTTGCTTGCGTAGCGACAGCCGAATAATAACCATCAGACAGAGGGATGACTTTTGGCTGTCCACCTTGTTGGACCCTCGCTACCGTTCAAAAATGGTGGCCTTTTTCACACCTGCTGAGAGGGAGGCCAAAATAACGTACTATAAAAACCACCTATGTAGTCAGTTGGTCTCTGCCTTTCTGCGCCAACGTCCATCCTCAGACACTGTGGGCCCTGTGCGCTCGTGTTCCGCTGCCATGGCAGCAGGGGAGGGGTGGGGTGGTAGGAGCAGTGGCAGCTCCACCAGCAGCGGCTGCCTCAGTCTGCAGTCGATGATGAGTAGCTTTCTTCACCAGCGCAGTGAGGAAACTACTAACCAGCCGCAGCAGCAGCAGCAGCAGCATCAGGTGGACCTGGAGCAGGACCTCAAACAACAGGCTTGGGCCTACTTGGACAGCACCCTGCCAACCGAGGTAGACAATCCCCTTGACTACTGGGCAACGAAACTTGACCTTTGGCCCCAACTAGCTGAATTTGCCCTTGAAAGGCTGTCATGCCCGGCCAGTAGCGTGGCATCGGAGCGCGTGTTTAGTGCGGCAGGAGGTATTGTAACTCCGCGGAGGACACGACTGTCCACCCAAAGTGTGGAGAGACTCACGTTTGTGAAAATGAATCAGGCGTGGATTAGTCTGGATTTCAAACCACCAGTTCCTGACACAACTGACTAAATCCGCCATGAATCATGCCCCAAACATGTGCCACTTTCAGGTCTCCTCACACTGCTGGTGTGTTCCATTTTTTGTCATAGGGTGCTGGCAGATTACGGGCCTCCCATTGCTGCTGCCAGGCCCGTAATCTGCCATGGGCCCCCGTACCGCCTCCTCATGCTGCTGCCAGGTCCAGAGTCTCTCATGGGTCCCTGTACGGCCTCCCATTGCTGCTGTCTCCATCGCCACACTCTGCCATGTGCCACTTTCAGGTCTCCTCACACTGCTGGTGTGTTCCATTTTTTGTCATAGGGTGCTGGCAGATTACGGGCCTCCCATTGATGCTGCCAGGCCCGTAATCTGCCATGGGCCCCTGTACCGCCTCTTCATGCTGCTGCCAGGTCCAGAGTCTCTCATGGGTCCCTGTACGGCCTCCCATTGCTGCTGTCTCCATCGCCACACTCTGCCATGTGCCACTTTCAGGTCTCCTCACACACTGCTGGTGTGTTCCATTTTTTGTCATAGGGTGCTGGCAGATTACGGGCCTCCCATTGCTGCTGCCAGGCCCGTAATCTGCCATGGGCCCCTCTACCGCCTCCTCATGCTGCTGCCAGGTCCACAGTGTCTCATGGGTCCCTGTACGGCCTCCCATTGCTGATGTCTCCATCGCCACACTCTGCCATGTGCCACTTTCAGGTCTCCTCACACTGCTGGTGTGTTCCATTTTGTCATAGGGTGCTGGCAGATTACGGGCCTCCCATTGCTGCTGCCAGGCCCGTAATCTGCCATGGGCCCCTGTACCGCCTCTTCATGCTGCTGCCAGGTCCAGAGTGTCTCATGGGTCCCTGTACGGCCTCCCATTGCTGCTGTCTCCATCGCCACACTCTGCCATGTGCCACTTTCAGGTCTCCTCACACTGCTGGTGTGTTCCATTTTTTGTCATAGGGTGCTGGCAGATTACGGGCCTCCCATTGCTGCTGCCAGGCCCGTAATCTGCCATGGGCCCCAGTACCACCCTCCTCATGCTGCTGCCAGGTCCAGAGTCTCTCATGGGTCCCTTTACGGCCTCCCATTGCTGCTGTCTCCATCGCCACACTCTGCCATGTGCCACTTTCAGGTCTCCTCACACACTGCTGCTGTGTTTCCATTTTTTGTCATAGGGTGCTGGCAGATTACGGGCCTCCCATTGCTGCTGCCAGGCCCGTAATCTGCCATGGGCCCCACCGCCTCCTCATGCTGCTGCCAGGTCCACAGTGTCTCATGGGTCCCTGTACGGCCTCCCATTGCTGCTGTCTCCATCGCCACACTCTGCCATGTGCCACTTTCAGGTCTCCTCACACTGCTGGTGTGTTCCATTTTTTGTCATAGGGTGCTGGCAGATTACGGGCCTCCCATTGCTGCTGCCAGGCCCGTAATCTGCCATGGGCCCCTGTACCGCCTCCTCATGCTGCTGCCAGGTCCACAGTGTCTCATGGGTCCCTGTACGGCCTCCCATTGCTGCTGTCTCCATCGCCACACTCTGCCATGTGCCACTTTCAGGTCTCCTCACACTGCTGGTGTGTTCCATTTTTTCATAGGGTGCTGGCAGATTACGGGCCTCCCATTGCTGCTGCCAGGCCCGTAATCTGCCATGGGCCCCCGTACCGACTCCTCATGCTGTGACGTTGCAACAAGGTGGAATTCAACTCTACATATGTTAGACCGCCTTTACGAACAGCGAAAGGCCATCACAGATTCCTGATGTTCACACAAGCGGATAAAGGTACTCCCCTGTGTAACTTAGATGTCAGCCATTGGCAGCTCATGCGTGACACCTGCCCGCTTGCTCAGGCCCTTTGAGGAGGCCACGCTATTCGTGAGTCGGCAGGACTATGGGATGAACGACATCATTCCTCTGTTGCACGTCCTGGAACAAATGTTGTTAACAATGGCTGGTCAGGGTGCGGTAGACGTGGCGCACAGATCTCAACGCCACATGACCCCTGTGGGGGCAGGACAGGAAGAAGAGGAGGAGGTAGAGGAGGACATTGGTGCTCAGAAATTATTGAGTGAAATGGGTGGTTTTTCCACTCAGCGGACAGGAGTGGAGGAGCAGGAGCATCTGGTAGAAGAGGAGGAGGAGGAGACAGAGGACCCAGACGCACCGTGGCAGTATGCTGTGGAGATGGAGGCAGGGAGTCCCTCGCATTCCTTGGCACAAATGGCCCATAGCATGCTTGGTTTTGCTTGCGTAGCGACAGCCGAATAATAACCATCAGACAGAGGGATGACTTTTGGCTGTCCACCTTGTTGAACCCTCGCTACCGTTCAAAATGGTGGCCTTTTTCACACCTGCTGAGAGGGAGGCCAAAATAACGTAGTATAAAAACCACCTATGTAGTCAGTTGGTCTCTGCCTTTCTGTGCCAACGTCCATCCTCAGACACTGTGGGCCCTGTGCGCTCGCGTTCCGCTGCCATGGCAGCAGGGGAGGGGTGGGTGGTAGGAGCAGTGGCAGCTCCACCAGCAGCGGCTGCCTCAGTCTGCAGTCGATGATGAGTAGCTTTCTTCACCAGCGCAGTGAGGAAACTACTAACCAGCCGCAGCAGCAGCAGCATCAGGTGCACCTGGAGCAGGACCTCAAACAACAGGCTTGGGCCTACTTGGACAGCCCCCTGCCAACCGAGGTAGACAATCCCCTTGACTACTGGGCAACGAAACTTGACCTTTGGCCCCAACTAGCTGAATTTGCCCTTGAAAGGCTGTCATGCCCGGCCGGTAGCGTGGCATCGGAGCGCGTGTTTAGTGCGGCAGGAGGTGGTAACTCATCGGAGGGCACGCCTGTGTTTAAGTGCGGACTCAGTTTGTGAAAATGAATCAGGCGTGGATTAGTAACAAACCCCACCAGCCTGGAGAATCTGCCCCATGTGCCACTTTCAGGTCTTCCTCACACTGCTGGTGTGTTCCATTTTTTGTCATAGGGTGCTGGCAGATTACGGGCCTCCCATTGCTGTGGAGGCCTCAAATCTGCTCCCGTACGTTCCTCATGCTGCTGCCAATGAATGGGTCCCTGTACGGCTGTCTCCATTCTGCCATGTCATGCCCGGCTTTAGGTCTCCTCACACTGCTGGTGGTGTGTTCCATTTTTTGTCATAGGTCAAGATTACCCCATTGCTGCTGAGCCCGTAATCTGCCATGGGACCCGTTTGTACCGCCTCCTCATGCTGTGCCCAGGATCCACCAGTTCCTCTCAAATGGGTCCCTGAATCATGCCCCCAAACATGTGCCACTTTCAGGTCTCCTCACACTGCTGGTGTGTTCCATTTTTTGTCATAGGGTGCTGGCAGATTACGGGCCTCCCATTGCTGCTGCCAGGCCCGTAATCTGCCATGGGCCCCCGTACCGCCTCCTCATGCTGCTGCCAGGTCCAGAGTGTGTCATGGGTCCCTGTACGGCCTCCCATTGCTGCTGTCTCCATCGCCACACTCTGCCATGTGCCACTTTCAGGTCTCCTCACACTGCTGGTGTGTTCCATTTTGTCATAGGGTGCTGGCAGATTACGGGCCTCCCATTGCTGCTGCCAGGCCCGTAATCTGCCATGGGCCCCTGTACCGCCTCCTAATGCTGCTGCCAGGTCCAGAGTGTGTCATGGGTCCCTGTACGGCCTCCCATTGCTGCTGTCTCCATCGCCACACTCTGCCATGTGCCACTTTCAGGTCTCCTCACACTGCTGGTGGGTTCCATTTTTGTCATAGGGTGCTGTATGGCCTCCCATTGCTGCTGCCTCCACCACCACACTGTGGCTCCACACTCTGGTTTTGGCCCCGTGACTGCCCAAATGAGTGAAGAGTGCGGTGATTCTAAGATCGACGGCACTCATCTGCATGTCATACTGACTGACAGTATTATTTCTCTTCCCCAGCAGACTCCAAGGGCATTTAAATTAAAGGTACAGTGTTCTGCACTAATATGAAGGCTCTCTGAAGCCTAGAAACACCCTTTTATAAGTTAAATTCGCAGCGAATATATTCGCATCGAATCGAATTTATTCCTCGAATTCGCTGAATCAGCCGAATCGAATTTTTGAATACTTCGCTCATCTCTAGTCAGGATCAAACAGCTTTTTTACACAATGCAGAGGACCCCTTAGATTCCACAGTGAGTATAACAAGCATGCTTTACTGCATATACAGACTGATTTTACTGTTGTGGGTTTAGTAACACTTTAATCCTCCACTCCATCCTTCCTGTTACTACCATTTCCAAGTTTGTTTTCCATCCAAAGCCATTTTTTTACTCAAATGTGAACATTGTCATGTGACATTTAACTTCTTCACACAAGTGCTCAGCCAGGTCCTCAAGAGGAACAGTGGGGCTTTCACCTGCACGGCAGGCAGGTACCATTTTGTAGGGACTTTTTGGATGGGTGAATTTTCCAGACACTTGACTCCCCCCAGACCGTAGTGGGTCTGATGGGCCAATCCCTGCTCAGTACAAGAAAAAAAAACTAGAGAAATACATTTGTTGAAATTTGGGACTTTATAGATGCAGAGTTATTCAATGTGACACATAATTCAAGATAAAACCACCAAGATTTATTAAATACATAAAATTTAATAATCTATTTTGTTTTTCAAAAACAGAGTGAATTGGAGGTTTTGATGAAGTACAATCTCGCACGAGATAGTTCCAAATAGCATATACTCTATATATGGTTTGATGAATCCCAATATGTTTCACCTATCAGGCTTCCTCAGGGAATAAAGTCTATTACACTGTGAATGAACTAAGAAAAAGATAATCAATATCTCATAGCACATGTATTTTGTTACACAACAATATAAAGTAATAACAAATACCAAACAAAATCCTTTTTAATATTTAATACTTTCAAGTAAATCAAAAATAACATAATTGGGGAGCTGTTAAATGGCATCTCACCAATGTCACATAGATCCAAGAAGGCCAATTGGAAACAACAAAGTGGTTGTATCAGATTAGAGCCAGGTAAATCCAAGAATCCTCCACACACCTAGACAAAGGGTGTGCTACAGGAAGAACACATAGGCAGGAACCTGTTTACAGAAATATTTATAATATATGTATATTTAAAAATCCAGCATCACCTACAAAGCCCAAAACCACCAAGGCACATATTTCTTATGTGTATAATTAAAGAGCAGCTCATTAACACCACCCTTATTTACACCACCCCATTATAAAGGGATTAGGAGGTTTGAATAACTTAAATGGTCAAGGTCCATGAAAGGTTGTTTCTCCTCTTGATACGGAATAGTTTCCCACCTGGATTCCAATTTGTTGCCTCTCTCAAACACAGGGTTTTTTATCTAACACCTTGTCTAAATGCTGAATATGACCTTCAAAAGTTGTATGATAATGATAATATCATTCAGGTAGATCAGTACTCTTTCAAAGTTGTCCCTAGCATTGTTCCATCAGTGTCTGAAAGGTACTGGGAGCATTAGTTAGCCCAAAAGGTATGCAATTGAACTCCTATACGGTGTTAGGAAAGCAGTCTTTTCTTTACCTTGTTCCCTTACTGGGACCTGCCAGTAGCTACTATCCAGGTCCAATGTAAAGAAATAACAGGCGTCGCCCAAGGACATGAGAGATTTCTGTACCCAAGGCAATGGACAGGCATCTTGATGGGTACAAGCATTAAGTTTGCAATAGTCCACACAGAACCGCAGGCTGCCATCCTTCTTCCTTACTATAACAACAGGGTCATCCGAGGGGCTCTCCCTTACTATTCTACTAAGTTACATAGTTACATAGTTAGTCTAGCTGAAAAAAGACAAAAGTCCATCCAGTTCAACCATTAAAAAAAAAAAAAAAAAAAAAAAAAAAAAATAATCCTATACCCACAGTTGATCCAGAGGAAGGCAAAAAAAAACCATGCAAAGCATGATCCAATTTGCTCCTGTAGGGAACAAAATTCCTTCCTGATCCCCCTAGAGGCAATTGGATATTCCCTGGATCAACGTTACCTATAAATGTTAGTATCTAGTTATATTCTGTGTATCTAAGAAAGAATCCAGGCCTTTTTTAAAATAATCCACTGAGCCGGCCAGAACCAACTCTTGAGGGAGTCTATTTCCCATTTTCACAGCTCTCACTGTGAAGAAACCTTTCTGTGTTTGATGATTAAATTTCTTTTCCTCCAGACTTTCAAGTCCTTGGCCTCTTGACAGAGAGCAGGTGGTATATGCTGGTATCGTTTCCAAGCAGATGTGACATCCCCCATATGTATAGGGTGGTCTATTACTTCTGTGCATCCATATTGCTCAGGACCAGCGGCAAAAAAAAAAAAAGAAAGAAAAGTCAGTTTTTCTTAAACAAGAATTCCAGGCATGATATATTTTTACATAGTTACATTGGTCCAGCATGGACCAATGCAACTATGTATATACCATACCTGGATGATGCAACTGGAAGCTGTATAGTATTTTCTGAATGAATACTAAGAATTCTCTGATTGGACAAGGTAGAGAGATGAGCTAGGGCATTGGCATCACACTGTTTACCTCATCCAGTCAGAGAATGCTTTGCATTCATTCAGAAAATGCAAACCTCTCTCTGAATGGTGTCTTTGCTAGAAGCCGAACTCCTGTGCTCATAATGCATCAGGTCGGCCACTCAGCATGGGACCTAAAGCAAGTGGAGATCACTATGCATAAGTGGTGTCTACTTCAGTGACGTCCACTTCTAGGGGCTTCTGCCAGGCATGTCATATACTTAGTTACATTGGTCCAAGCTTGACCAGTGTACCTATGTAAAAATATACAGTGCCTGGAATTCATGTTTAAAGATAATGCAAAGTTTGGAAAATATAGAGTTCTAAAGATTTAAATTGGAATATTACTAGAGCAAACATGCTTTTCATCCAGAACACTTAAAGTGGAGCTCCACCCAAAAGGGGAAGTTCCGCTTTAAGGACTGCTCCCTGCTCATAAATTAAGGATTGGCACCTTTGGGGGGCGGGGGGAAGCAGTACCCGAATTTGACAGGTACCAGCTCCAAATTGCGGTCAGAAACGGAAAGTGTTCTCCCTCCTTCCCTCCCCGTAGTCTTCTGGGACACATGAAAGGTCCCAGAAGACTACAGGACCATTCATGAAGCGCAGCGCTACTCGCGCGTGCGCAGTGGGTACCCGGCTGTGAAGCCACAAGCAGTCACAGCTGGGTGCCCACACCGAAGATGCCAGCCTCCAGGAATCCAGGACGGCAGGTGAAACGGGCTGCGGGGGACACACCACGGGACCGAGGGACAGGTAAGTGGCTGTTTTTTAAAAGTCAGCAGTTACAGTTTTTGTAGATGCTGACTTTTATTTTTTGACAGGATGAGTGGAACTCCACTTTAGACATGATTTTAGTTTATTGAAACATGTTGTGTAAGAAACACCAATGTACCAAGAAGTACCTTAATATGTCCTTACAACTAGGTCATATTTGAGGACATATCAATAAATATTTAGCTGTTGTGACAACAGTGGACAGCAATAAAGCAAGTGTATACTTTACTAACTAAACCTACCTATTAAGATTTCCTGTTAAGATTTCTATTAGGTGTGTACTGATGTGCAGGTCAAAAAGTAGTACTGTGGAGATAATTGTACTGCTATTAATATTGTACTAGTCTGCACATAATGCTTAAAGAGACCATTAAAAATCTGCTGAAAATGTATAATGCAGACACCTAGAGATGCCTATACATAGCCATACACTAGTAGATTTTTGAACTACAAACTTCTACTAGTGAATAGCCCGCTTTATACCCTGTTGTTTCAGCTGAATCCAAGACTATTCTGGCAGGCAGAGCTTTTGAACCTCCTTATAGTGAAAAAGTTTGCTCTCCCCAACTTGCATTCTGCATATTCCTATTGGCCACTGATGAAGCTCATTACAATAATGGAGAAATAGGAATATGTGAGGGCTGGAGATAGCCACAAGTGCTGATATTACTCTATATCAATGGAGTTTTACCTGTTTTACTGAAGAAGGGTTCACAAAGTCATATCTTACCACATCCCAGTATGCAGTAAGATACCACACAGAGTTTTTCAAAAGGTTTTTTGACATTCACTAAAATAAAAGCCACTAAAATAGCACATGAGTTATTTTATGAAGTCATGCGATATCGTAATAGTAGTTGGTAGCCATGGTATTTATTAACAGTAATAAATACCTTTTCATTAAGGAGCGGGCAGCCGCTGCATCCTTAACAACCAGTAACTGTCATGGTTGTTAAGGAGCGGGAGGCCTCTGCATCCTTAATAATCGATGAGCCATCAGCTGTCAGTGGGGTTCCCCACTGGTAGCTGAATGTAAAACAAAGAATTGCTGGTAGGGAAAAATTAAGAAAAAAAAACAGAATGGGGTTCCCTCCCATAATCCATACGGTAAGGATTTTGAGGGGAACCCCCACACCAAAATTTTAAAAAATGGCACGAGTTCCTCCCCAAAATCCATAGCAGACCATTAATCAGGCATGCAGCCCGAACGGTTAGCAACCTGGAACGGTTAGGAACCTGAAACATACCAGGCCACATGCTTTGGGGCAGGGGGGCTCTTCCTCCCAAAGCACCTTATCCCCATGTTGATGGGGACACTGACCTCTTCCCCACAATCCTGGCCAGTGATTGTGGTGGTCTGTGGGCAGGGTGCTTATCAGAATCTGGAAGACCCCTTTAACATGAGGGCCCCCAAGTCCAGAACCCCCATGTGAATGAGTAGGGGTACATGGCAAAAAAAAGTGTAGTGTAAAAAAACACAGGAGGCAGTTTTTGACAAGCTCTTTATTACAAAAAAAAAAGAAAATGTCCCCACTGCTGACCCAAGAAAAAAAAGCTCCGCTCCTGCCGAAGGCTCCCACCATCTGACAACTACGCCACCTCCCGCTGATAAATAAGCTAAGAGGTGGTGCCACTTAGTGACATCACTGGGTGGTACCGTC